GGAGACCTTCTCTACGAAGCCGGCCAAGGCCGCATCCCCATGCCTCACCCATGTCCCCCAAAACTGTCGTCTAAACCCTCTTAGGCTCCGAGCCTCTAAACTATACCCTCCAGAACCTCGAAAATCCCAACGGCCATAGATTCGACTTAGGCTGCACAAAACAATTTCTCCTGCTTTTGCAAGCTCCTTTGGTTCCTCGGCTGGCTCGCAGCGCTGACGCTCAGCGGCACCCCAAGCGGGCCAGGCCAAGCGCCCTAAACTCCAAACCCCAAACCCCAACCACAGCTGAGAATGAAGGGTTGGTCTCTCCTAGTAGGCACCCCAGGCTAGTGGACCCTGCCACATCCTGCCGCCCCATTCCACATCAGGTCCTTCTGTTGCATGTACGTTTTCAAGCAATCCGATCCCCTCCATTTGGGACTGCTACGGGCTCTGCCCTATGCTGCTTTGCTCTGGGCCTTTGTGCCGGAGTGCTGCTCCGAGTGCCTTTTCGATTGCCGGCCGGTGCGCAAGGAGAGAGGTCTGATCGCTTCCCAGGTAGTGTACGAGAAGTACTTCGGACTTGGTGGAAGGTACTATGCCTTCAAAGTTGCCGCACTTCAGGCCTCCACAGTGCTGCTACAGGCGCTTGGCAAGATGAAGCTGTTTGGCGCGGCACTGGTGTTGCCGGAGATTGGCCCAGCCTTCTTCTGGATGTTTGTGGTGTTGCTGGTTTGCAACAGCATCTATCCAGCCGTGCTCCTCTGCTGGCTTAGGAAAAGGTGGGCTTTGCGCGCTGCAGTCATGGATGCTGCGCTGGATGTGGGCTACCTGTTTTGCTTTGTAATGACAGCTGGTCAAAGCTGGGCTCTTCTGGCTCCAACGGATTTTTTAGGCTACATGGCCATCTATACGAACGTGGCGCACTGCTTGTGCGTCTGCCGAGCCTTGAGTGATGGCCATGACCCGACTGGAGGGTCCTGCCCGAGCCGAGAGAAAGGGCACACAGGGAGCCCCGTTTGCAGCAAAGCCAAGTCCCGGGCTTTTGCCGTTTGCTACAGTGCCATACTGCTCTCGGTTGTCGCCGGGGCTGTCGTTCCTGTCGTTTCAACCCGATTGCAAGGTTTCTCTTCCGACGCGTGTTTACCATGCGACTGCTCGGAGCCAGACACGCACGGCCTCAGGCGCCTGGAGTCCTGCGAGTTGGCTGTACTCATGCGTACGGAGCATGTTGATTTTGAGAACATGAACATTGGCAGCATTGCCCCGAAGGCGCTGGAAGGCTTGCACTGGCTGAGACTTGGTTTCGTCAAGATTCTAAAGCGCTTTTCATCCCTTCATCAAAACCCCCCCCCCGGGGGGTAGGGTGAAGGGATGGTGAATTTGTACTGGCCCTATACACAGCCATGCTTCTAATTCCAGTCCTATGTCTTTATTTGACAGATCCAAGGAAAAGTCTGGACTTAGGTGGCAACAAGCTGAGCTCCCTCCCCGCGGGCATCTTTGACGGCTTGACCAGTCTAACCAGCCTGAGATTATCGTCCAACCAGCTGAGCTCCCTCGCCGCGGGCATCTTTGACGGCTTGACCAGTCTAACCAGCCTGGACTTGGACGAGAACCAGCTGACGACCCTGCCCGCGGGCATCTTTGACGGCTTGACCA